ATGAATGAAATTATTTTACCAGGCTATAGTTTCAGGACTATTTCCCTGCCATTGCGAACCTATCAAAACATTAAGGCACCACGGGACGTGGACCAAACCTATCAGGTGAGAGGTGGCATGGGTCTTGACCTTGACCTCTCGGCTTGTTTGCGATGGACTGATCGAGATATTACTGCAGAACAATAGTAACTAAGCTTTGTTCGGTGTTCTGATTTTTTGGTTTGGAATACTGATTTTATCACAAAAATGCTCATTTTGTAAGTAATAGCATGTCAAAATATTTAAAAAAAAACAGAATATAGGTTATACTACGTTCTAGATAACTCTCAACCAGTTCTATTTTCCGAAGTAAACTACACGTTTTGACAAACAACATGGGGAGGTCAACTCAGTGGTTTAGGTCAACTCAGTGGTTTGTCTTCTTTATTGTCCTTTCATGATAATAAAAAAGAATTATTCAGGTTGAGTAAAGTTGATGAACATTTAACCTTAATAAGCCCAAGCTAATATCAATGTCTAATTATACGCTGGCGTAATAACCACATGTCACGTGTATTAATTAAATAAGTTTTATTTACTCTTCATTAGCATACGTTGTTCTTATAACTGGTAATCGAGGACATCTGTTGACGTCTTGACCCTCTAGTCACCACGCTCGCAATGTTAGATGTTCCCGAAGTCGTGCTGCAGGAGATCATGATCGTGAAGAGTACACCTCCATATAGGTATTAGTCATTCTAAATGGACATTTTGATTCAAAATTATTCAACATGATTCTTACGTAAACGTTGTATGACGGAAATTCCAGATAGGAGGGCGAGACCTAACAGTGGAAGGTACGGTCTAAATACGGTGACCTGTTGTCTGTGAATGGTGTAGGACTCCCATTGAAACCTGACATAGTTATCGGTAACACCCTGTTTTTATGTTTATTAGCAAAGTACGTTCATTGACAGTGCCGGATAGACGGTACGCCCTACACGTACAGGTTAGGAAGATTCCGAAACTGCATGACAATTGTTGTCTTGAGGTGTACAAACTGTCACCAGCCAATAAGTTCTAGTTTTAGTCAGTCATCTTATAATACTGACATGTTTGAACACCTATGGTACGATCCTGTTGGATAAGTTAATGAGATTTAGATTATGTGAAATGGCATCATTGTAGATAAAATTGTGAATCTACAAATTGAAAATGAAAACAGTAATGCTGAGAATGTTTTGAAATTGAAGTAAATCTGATCTTCATTGTGTAATAAAGTGTTTTGTCTTTTGGATTAACTAATAGTCTCTCCAATAAATAATGCAATCGACACTAGCTAAACAGTTCCTATCGTCATCTTATATTTCCTATTGTTTCATTGTGCCTAATTCTGAAGCTCGATCGTGTTGTTGTAATGTGTTTAAACGCGGATATTTGTACTATTCTGAATATCAACAGTAGGCATTTTACTTTACCAAGTTATACTATGTAAGATTTATCACAATTTACAATTTACCTCACCAAGTTATACTATGTAAGACTTATCACAATTTTCAATTTACCTCACCAAGTTATGCTATGTAAGACTTATCACAATTTACAATTTACCTCACCAAGTTATACTATGTAAGATTTATCAATACTGACAACCTACACCTTATCTGACCAAGGTATACATAAATACTGACAATCTACAATTTACCTCATTTAGCTTTAATTTAAAATCCAATGATAATGACAATATTTAACATCTATAAATACTGACAATCTACACTTTACCTCACCTATATGTACCGTATCTGTCAAATTACTAAATACCTGTCACATCCCAAAATGTCGACAGCACTCCAGGCTAATACATACCTGCCATTATCATGTTTATCGACAATGCATACTTTACCTCGCCAAGCTAATATCTAGTTAGCATATATTACCTATCAACAACACTCGCTGGCACTTTACCTTAACATACTACTGGTATAATTGTGTGGATTTCCGTCAGGCTTAACAAGGGGGCCGTGACTTCTGATCACAGATCACCTTATCGAAGGTACTATTGAGTAATCCTCAGCAGTATTTCCGTCGTTGGTTACCTCGTGCGTCATAGATCAGTACAATAGTTCAATGGCAGTTGGTGGAACAGTCCCGAGTGTTAAAATCCGCCTCTATCAGTCACCATAACCACCGAGGTTGTGGTCAGAATTCTTGCTTGTGTCCTAAAATTTCGTGAAGTAACTTATAAACAGCTGATTCTAAAATCATTTTTCCCATCTGCCACCAGAAAGAAAAGAAAGAAAAAACATCCGCTCCGAAAAAGTCAGAACATTTTAAGTCTACAATTTTGTTTCCAAGCGCTGAACATTTTAGCTTTTTTCCCATCATTTCTTTTTCTTAGCTTTTTTCACTTTCTGACATTCATAGGCCAACATACTTGTAATGCGAAGTAAGCGATACACATATTTGTTCATAGAACATAATTACGGAGACCTCCGTATACGCGGGTGAGATACCACATGCGGATTCAAACCGTTGATTTGATTGTTGAACACTACAAATGTAAATTGTAGGTACTGTAAAGCATGTTTCTAAGGTAATGATAAATCATTTAATGCATATATATCACCAAATGTTATTTGTACAAGCACCTGTTTGAGGGGTCCTCGGTGGCAAAGTGTATTAGGCGTCTGACATGCTGCTACCACTAGTTCTCCAACACTGGGTCGCGGGTTCGAGACCTACGTGGAACAGTCGCCAGGTTGAATCATATTTATACTCACATCCTTCAATGACCATAGCTGTTAATAGGACGTAAAAACAACCAAACCAAATATGTTTGAGTGTTAAGTTCATTCCATTTTGAAGGCGCTTTATTCGCGGTCAGCAATTATAACGCTAAATCAAATACTAAGCAAATATCATTACAATCAATTATAATCTCCATAATTATCTATTTATAGACACTATAGTAAAAATCTGTGTCCCCGTTTAATGCCGAGTAATGAAAATAAAACTATTTAATATCGCATTTTAATATATTTTCACAAAACCCTTGTACAATAATAGCCTACTCCCGAAATCAAAGGTACGCGTGAGTGGGGTATTTTTTTAACTGATTATGTCGCTCCAAATATAATCATCGCGAACTAGATCTAATCGAGGCAACCGCGAAATATTGTCCCTTCGAAATAAAGCAACTACATAGAATTTGATTACCGTGCCGACTTTGGTGTCAAATTTATTTGCATTACCTCAGATGTTCGGCGACCCATATAGAATTGCTTACATGTGTACTTTCCAGAACCTGTTTGGAGACATTGGAACGAACATATGATTCAGGAAACGCTTACTCCTCCGGAACATCTGGTTTAGATATATTCTATGTATGGGGATTCATGGTGTCTTTACGGTTTTGTCTAATTTTGTTAGCTCCTGCTGAGTATCATCGCATCGATTTCCGGTTGTGTACAGTGTCCTGGAGAAATCGTTATATGTTTATTTTTATTTTTACCGTAGTATTGTGTACTAGAAGATATAACAAACCTTCCTTAAAGCTGTACAGAGAGAAATAGTTTAATGACATCGTTAGTATAACGTTGCAAAATTGCTTTTTATTTATACAGTAAAAAACTGGTATCGGTTAAAAAAACAATTGTGAATATTGCCTTAATATAACACCATTACGATTATGAAATACTGTTTTTTTCTGTGACATGTCGACTCTCTTTGCGACACTTTGTAACGATTTTTGTGGTTAGTGAAACGTGGTAGTTTTCATAATTTTGTTTTCATATTTCACTTTAGAATGGAAATCCCCTTAATTACATGTTTTAAGAGTAAGTCGTGAATTTACTAGGGAGAACATTTTAAAACGAAAATAGATAAATAAAGTTAAATTGTTCGTAAAATATTATGTCTGACTGACAAACGAGTACTCCAAGCATTATGTGGAGACCATCACTTCGTTTCGTTTTGTTTGGCGTCCTATTAACATCGAAGGTCATCTTAGGACGTGCCTCTGTATGTGTAATGTATCCATGAGCGGTGAAAGCGGTATGTTATTGTATTTGCCTTGTAATCGTACGGATCTGATGCCGTCTTTAGAGTGCTACTTTATTGAAATACCATGACGAAGGCACCCAACACTGTATCCAATCCAGTGATATACAATTTGATTGGTTGTTTTAGGTAGCCTAAATGCTGAACATTAAACAAAGAATAACAACAACCATTTTTAAGTACTTGGGTATGTCCCGGCCTGGGGACAGAACCCATTGCCCTCCTCACCTTGGCGAACGTTGAACATTAAGATAAAGAATTAGATATTGAGATGGATCTTTTTTTTATTAGGAAGTAAAGATAAAATGTACAAATCCAAACTGATGTTATGGACGCAGTAGGGTTATCTTGGTCTCTTTTGTGTCCCCATGTAAAGGGAAGTTAGTTCCGGATTCCACAGGGTTTTTCCCCCCATTAGTTGCCTCTTTCAACATGCAGACGGTAATTACAGGTACATTTCCCTAGACTTGGACCTGTGTAGGGTAGAACATGTGTTTTATTGTTAAGTGTATGTAACATACAAGGTTTCACTTTATACATGTTCGTCTGTATTGATTAAACACTGCCTTCGGTATTGTTATCAAAAGTAAAGATAATTCCTAGAGACTTAAAAATAGATACATTCGAAAGAAAGATGCGTATCCCTCCAGTCCTATCCGAAATATGTTCAGGTTTGCAATGCAATATATCGTTGTATTACATTGACAAAGGCAGGTGAGAACAAATGTTAAAGGTTTAAGTTTTAAAAGAGATTTTGTTACATGTTGTCCTTAAATATATACAGTGTCCCTACCGGACACAGGTCAAATAATGATGTTATACTATCATACATATTAAAACCAATGTCAAAGGTCACATCGCTATCATTTCTCGTTTTAAGAGTACATTTGTGTATTGGAATGTCATTGGTCATTTGAAAAGGTCGCCAGAAATGTATTGTGATGCCCTTGATATAATTGAAGGTTGCGCATGGTGACGTACGGGCAAGGTTGAGGTCAAGTCTAGAAAACCGAGGTTTCGAGGTAAGCAAACGTATTTACAAAGTAACACTACGATAACACGCATGCGTACTGATGTTTTCCGGCACATCCATAATAATATAATAGTCGAAATATGTTCCCTTATCAGCAAGTCGAAACGCTGGTTAAAACTTTTTAAAGTATAATGAATTATTACGAAATTGTGAAATGACCGAAATTGAATTTTAACAATCATATAAATAAACCACCTGTTGGCGTTATAATGCCCTCAGTGACATAAGTAGTGCCTTCAGGGACACTAGGTCACTAGCGACACCCTCGATTTAGGAGCAGAAATAAAACATCAGAAAAAATAAGAATATCAACAATGTTCGACGATTCAGAAGAAGACTAAGACAGGAATTATTATTGAGCACTTTTTAAAGAAAAGTTGCTTAAGTATGAAGGACATACAATAGAAACATTCACATATGTCCAATTTCAGAAAACACTTACTTGCTACACAGGTTTAAAGTAGAGAGAACACCAACGAAGGTTGTACAGCATATATAGACGTACAAATGAAGGTTAACAACAGAAATCATTTATTGTTATAAATATGCAAAGGCTTGAGTAGATACCTATTATATTTTACTGGTTATACTAAATACAAGAAGAAAGGGCATTTCTGAATAGAACATTTTACTGGAAAAAATATATATAAAAATAATCCTTATAATATTTTGATAGAAGCTCTTGCTTGTTTTAATGAAATACATAGCTTACTTTGGGCTCGTACTGGTAATATACAAGGTAAATGGAGGGTATACCTTTATTGAAGCTCGTACTAATTATACAGGTGTTAAGAATTAAGAGTAAACTGTACCTAAATTGAAGCACACACTTTAAAGGTAATATAATAGATAGTATACCTCAATTAAAGCGCGTACTGGTTATACAGGTACAGGTAATGGAGGATTTATCTTAAGTGAAGTTCGTACAGGTAATAAAGGTAAAACGTGAATGATATACCTTAAGTGAAGCTCTTACTAGTTATACAGGTATATAATGGAGGTTTTACCTTAATTGAAGCTCGTACTGGTTATACAGGTAAAAAGAGTGGAGGTTTTACCTTAATTGAATCTCTTACTGGTTATACGGTCGTAAAGTATTTAGGGCATTTCCTAATGAAAGTTTTAACCAGTTATTCAGGTGTAAAGAATTGAGGACATTTCGGTAAAGCTTTTGCTACAATTTAGCATTTGATTAATCTAATTCAATATGCTTATAGCATAATGTGATATAAACGTTAAACAAAAACTGGGCACAAGGTACATGTACACCTGCTATAAAGCACATCACAGTCTACATGCACTTTTAATCATGTCACAAGCACCTTTATTTCCGCAAATTTTTAGTTTTTTACAGACATTATAAATACATAACAAATTTACGAGGACTTTATTTCGAGACATTTTCAAGTACACTATAAGATATTCTTAAATAACTTGTTAAGTCGTGTCTGTATGATAATCAAGAAATGTTTTTGTTCGAATGAATATCTTGCATTGCCGCACTAATGAATACCTTTGCTGTGTAACAGATTTAACGTGAGCGGACTCGGTTTGTACTTGATAATATTTTTGTTTATTTCTTTTTCCTGTATAAGTGCAGGACTCCCAAGGGAGTGTAAATATATTTAATTCCTGACCTGTGAATGTCATCATACGATGAGACATTATAATGACAATTTGTCCACAAAATACTAATCTAACGCGGACAGGATAAACAAGTTCTTTTGCAAAATGTCATAAAACGAATTTCGGCAACTGTATCATATTTTTACCTGAACGTTTTGATAATTAAAGTTATACAACTCTACGGCAGCTATTGATTCATTTAGATTGATAATGTCTGGATGAGCTGGTTATTCCCCGAATCAACGGAATATTTCTTCCTGATAGAAACAACCAATCAGATTCCTATGTCTGATGCGCGTGAGCGACCATGCTTATTATCACGTGACTTACAATCAGCACATACTGAGGTGTAACGACGAAAAACGACACGGCTTTTATCAAAACCGTATTGACATCGGTGCAGTGTGGTTAAGTCAGCACACTTGTATTTATTTCAAAACGTTTTGAATTTGTAAGAATTACAAACAATGGTTATGATTTTATGTTTCTGCTTTGAAGCAACGCTTTAAGCAAATCACTTCACTACCAATAGCCAGTTACATTAGTTTGGAGTATTGTTTTGTTTATACATTTATGAATGTCGTTGGGAAAAAACTGCTTTCGTATGTGTATAGTGATGGTGTGTATTGTGATTACAAATACAATGTTGATAACATTTTTACCTGTGAATTATAATCTATGCGGTAGAAATACAGTAGATATTTTTCTTCTGAGACAATTTTTTGTTATTTTCACACTTATCGACCAGTAAGCAGAGCTTAGTGTGAAAAATAACAAAAAAAACCAATGTGGTTTGTGACGTCACAATTGTCCAGATGTTTTATGTTTTTGACGTCTCAACACAACCTTCTTTGCCTTAATATTTCTGTTTGGCGTCAAATTGACTAATGGCCAACAAAGGCCATGACTTGCAGAAAAAAACAATGCAATGATAATGCTTGGTTTCTTCCTGAAAAAGAATTATATTTTACTCGTGTGTTGACGGTTTTTTGTGGGGGGTTTTCTCACTCATTCTTCACTCGAAAATAATATCCAATACACCAAATTAATGAAATATAGATAATGTTAACCATTCTATACATTATAACGTCGGTGCTGTATACCGGGGATTTTCGCTTTAGTTTGATTTTTACCTTTTTTCACCCTCTGGAGTGGGGGCGTTTTATCATTATAGCGAATATTTTTCAACAAAATAAGTTAAATAGTTACTTAATGTGAAAGGCGAAATAATACTTTACGAAGTTGAAGTTTAAAGGCGAAGGGTAAAGTTTAACTTGGCGAAATTTCCCCCGTCAACAGTACTTAGAGATATAAATGCCGAGGGGGGCTTACGGGTATACAAATATCATGTTTTCCCCTAAACTCCCTTTCTATACATTGGATACACTCATTTAATATTTTGAGGCATTAAGTTTGTATGTAATTGGACTTATTATGACGACACAAAATAATAATTAAATGGCATTGTATATTTCTAGATAATAGTATAACATAAAGCTTTGAAATGATTTCAAACCAATAAAGATACCTTGATGAAACTCTTGAATTAATTGTAATGGCATCACTTGCATATTACGTTATTTATAAGAATATACGTAGTTTATATAAACCTAAATATGAATAGGTGTAGAACCTACTAACAACCAATGATAACAGAAAATGATAAATAACATTTTATTTATTCTTTTGTGGTTATCTTTTTTCCAACGACTTAATTGAAGTAAATTAACATAATAAGTAAACATTAAGATAAGACGGCTAGAGACATGGTACAAACATTCGACCGTTAGTTTAAATGGTGTTTGCATAAACATTTACTGCATACAAACGATATTCCGATATGATTATATTATGTTTCTTATCTCACAGGTTTGTTTGTCTTATCTTAAAGTACATTATTGCAATATCGAATTGTTAATAGGCAATGACCTAGGCATACATACAATTGTTGCATTATGTATCCTATATTGTAGTTTATCAGCTGTTACAGGTGAGAATAACGAACCAAACTCGTAGTTTCCTCTTTGGTCTACCGATGTGACAAATATATAATATTTACCTAAATCTATATACTTAAATGATCGATTGCTGAAAATGAAAGATCGCTTGTGAGGGCGGTTTTTCATTTTCCTTGACATTTGTCAAATAAAAGATTAAATATATTTACGTGACAACTTGATATACATCAGGCGATAGGACTGAAGGATCATTTATAATCAAACTGACATGTGTTTAGTTTTCATTTATTCCTCATTCATCGAAAACAGCTTTTGCAGATTTGTCGTTACAAACTGATTTATCAACAGCACCTATTAGATGTTATTTTGCTAAAATTGTGTTTCGGGGATACGGAAATTTAATGTTCTCCACAATTATGTCAATGTGATAACAACTTAATGTAATACACACTCTGTCCTTAGTCAATGATTTGGCTGAGGAATTTTTAAGAACTAATTCCATGTTGAAATACTTACATCATGTATTCGTATACATTTCTATGTTATATATTGAGGAACTTTCAGGTTTTGTTATTGTATTTACGTAATAGATTGTAAAAATGGTAAAAGCAAATGCAATATATGTATTTTGTTAGTCACATAACTATAATATAGAGCGACATATAAGCGTAATACTGTAAAATGCAGACATAGCATTGTCCACTGAAATAAAGCGGATTAGCATGTCAGATGTAATCCCATATGAAATAAAATAAATGCTGGACTTTTACCAGTTCCCCAATTTAAATGGTGATGTTACATTAGAAAAAATCACATTAAGTGTTTTATTTCCTTCATTAAATGTAATTGTATTAGTGTTTAACCTCTTGTACTACAATATATCTTTTAGATATTGTTACGTATTTACATGCGCAAAAAGCAGTTATGGCATTTACATACGTGCGCATACCTGAACCACTTATACAATTAAACTGAGTGATCGGAACTTACTCTAGCGTATACACATGGTGCAATTATTATCTGAAAAAACCCTTAACAAAGTTTACACAATATATATACTCGAAAAAGTAAAAACTGTATCTGGTTAGAATGTATTTTATAATGATTATACACGTTTAAAGTAGCGTTCTATTTGTTGACTATTGACACGTCCAATGCTTCGCTAATGTCAGCTTATTGTTATTCATGTCGTAATGAGGAATATGTTTCGAGGTTGACATGTTTTATGGACGACCTGCCGGAAGAGGATGTAAACCGCCATCACTCAATCTCACAATACAACGCGACCTTTGTAAAAAAGATAGCTCGATCTTCCGCGAAATGATACATCAACTTTGCCGACGTTAAGCCAATAAGCAACATTTCCCATTCATATCTACATGATGTATTTTAATTTTACTGTGAT